ATTTTTTGATTTATTGTAGAGAAGAGGTCTCACCAAGTTGCCCAGGCGGGTCTCGAATCCCCAGGCTCAGGCAATCCACTCACCTCTGCCTCCCAGAGAACGGGATTATGGGCTGAGCCACCAAGCCCGGCCAATATATTTAACAATATATTATAGATATATTAATTATTGACGAGGGCAATTAATTCTTTTTTATTTTATTTATTTATTTTGAGTTGGAGTCTCATTCTGTTGCCCAGGCTGGAGTGCAGTGACTCGCTCACAGCCACCACAGCCTCGACCTACTGGGTTCAAGCAATCCTTTCGCCTCAGCCTTCCAAGTAGCTGGAATTACAGGCATGTGCCACCACGTCCGGCTAACTTTTTGATTTATTGTAGAGATGAGGTCTTGCCAAGTTGCCCAGGCTGGTCTCGAACCCCTGGACTCAGGCAATTCTCTCACCTCGGACTTCCAAAGTCCTGGGATTATAGGCATGAGCCACCACGCCCGGCCAATTGTTCTTAAATTTTTCTTTTTTGGGGATTGGAATCTCACTGTCACCCAGGCTGGAGTGCAATGGCACGGTCGTGGCCATCACAACCTCGACCTACTGGGCTCAGGTGTTCTTCCACCTTAGCCTCACAAATAGCTGAAACTACAGGCATTTGCTACCACGCCTGCTTAAATTTTTTGATTTATGGTAGAGACAAGGTCTCACCAAATTGCCAGGCTGGTCTCGAACTTGTGGGCTCAGGCAGTCCTCTCACCTCGGCCTCCCAAAGTGCTGGGATTATAGGCACGAGCCACCATACCTGGCCAACAACTTTTTTAAAAAAATAGAATATGGTAAATGTGCTGAAAGAAAATAATTTCCAACCTAGAATTCCAGATCCAGAGATAGTGTTCTTCAAACCAAAGAAGAAATAAAGACATTTTCAGACAACCTCAAACCTAGGCAGAGAGGTACTAAATTAGCAAGCAGAAGAAATATTATTCCAGATGGAAGATTGGTGATGCAGAAGAAATAAAGGGCACTAAAAATGACAAATCTGGTCAGTGTGGTGGTGCCCACCTGCTGTCCCAGCTACTCTGGAGGCTGAGGGCGGAGGATCCCTTGAGCCCAGGAGTTCAAGGTCAGTTGGGCAATATAAGGAACACTTCTCTGCCAACTCCCCTCCCTGTCCTGATTTTTTTTTTTTTAAGCCAGTGTCTTGCTGAAATGCAGTGACACAGTCACTGCTCACCACAGCCTTCAACTCCTGGGCTCAAGTGATCCTCCTGCATCAGGCCCCAAAGTAGCTTGGGACCACAGGTGCTCATCACCTCAATAGACTAATTTTTTTTCCCCTTTTTTTTGAGGGGGGCGGGGAGAGATGAGGTCTCGATATGTTGCCCAGGCTGGTCTCCTGGATTTAATAAATTCTTCTGCCTCGGCCTCCCAAAGTGCTGGAGTTACAGGTGTGAGCCACTGCACCGGCCTAAATGACTATTCATTTAATTAATAAGCATTGCTGCCAGGCTTGGTGGCTCAGCCTGTAATCCCGTGCTTTGGGAGGCTGAGGTGAGTGGATTGCCTGAGCCCGCG